AGGATTATTCCTCCGTATTAAACGCCCTTAAGTTTTTGGTGAATTATTTTACGTTGTCAACATATTTTCCCATAACAGGACAAGGTCACTGAATAATTGTGTAAATCGACACTCGCTCACGTTGAAAAGTCATTCAACTGTAACAACATTCGGTGCCTATAATTGTAAGACCATCTGAATTGTCTTCCCATCAGAATATTATGATGTTGACACTAGCTTACCCGTGAATAGTTACCACGCTATACCAGCCTTTGATACTATTGACGTTACACTGTCTTGTAAGGGCAGTCCACATTCACTATTTTCCTGTTTATATCAAGTGTGTACTTTCTTGATGTTGGTTGAGAAATATTAGAATAATACCTTGTGACCTGTATCCCCTAAGGATTTGTTTAAACATCTGTGAAATAGGCGTCGATAATATAACCTCTTAAAAAGTCTCCTTAGGCTGTATTTCCTTCGTTAAAATAAAATATTGATAAAACCACGTGATAAAGAGAGACCCAGTGCACCTTGAAGCAACTTCTTGTACTTTTGGGTTAGGCTTGAATCCACCATCACAGAGTGGACGTCTATATCTCGGGGACATAATTTGACTATCGTAACTTATTCATTAATGATGATTCTCTTCACTGACACTGTGATTGAGGAACTGCTTCAGTGTTCTTGCTGGTGTTAATAGGTCCTTGCCATTTTTCATTTCTTCCTTGGTGTAAAGCAACTTGTCCAGAATGAAGTTTTACATAAAAGTGTAGTTCTCTCTAAGAAGTAAAGTGGCGTACCATATGTAGGAAATAATCATTGGTTAGAAGTAAGTTAAGTAATCAAAGATGGTGAACAAGTAGCAATGGGTGGAATTTACCACTGGGTATTTTATAAGCTTAATAAGATGCATGGTGATGCTAAATTAGAATATCAGGAATATTGAATCGGATATTCATGAATACTTGGGTACTCGACAACTGGCCTCTCCCTTGGACTAGTTTTCAAGATACCTACTGATACTACGAACAAAGATTATACATAGGCAGCTACGATTTTTATCTCATATCGCCACTACCATCAGCATCAAACACCGTTCAGTCATCATAACAATCAAACACGCTAACACTTGTGACTTCCATGTCAGAAGTACGCGCGTGACACGGCCAAGGATGCATCTATCTTGGCAAGGTCTAGCGGGGATCACCAAGCTGCAGGCAACATGGTGATTACGGTCCGCTAAAAAACGCCCACTGATTGTACTGGTGACCACGTGTAAGACAGAGTTGAAAATTCCCTTCTCGACTGACCGACTACCCTTAGGTTTAAAAGCCTTTATTTTTAAGTGTGGTTTATCAGAACGTGTTAAAAGCTCTTATCCCAGATCTTTATCAATTAAACCAGCCCCTTTCACGTTGCCGTCTCCCCAAGATTCGTAAAACAACCCTGATAGGTTTTTATTGTTACTCCTGGGTTTTGTCAGCGAAGAAACCAGCTGACTATGAGCAGCAAGAAGAATGAGCTGACTAAGACAACAACAAGAATGAGCTGACTAAGAGCAGCAACAAACATCAGCTGACTAGAACATCAACAGAGCGACCAGCTGGCTATGGGTGTCACGCAGGCTGGTGGTGGTGGCGTGTTGATAGGCGACCTTTGATGGTTCGTGGGTAGGAACGGATGGTGAAATACTGTATTGGCACCAAAATATCTCAATGAGGAATTCCACAAAACTTCTGTGTGTGCCAGTGAATGAGCATGAAGGTTGACATGTATATGTGTGGTAGGGGGTGAATGGTGTTTGTGTGATAGGAGGATGGTTGTTGTGTGGTAGGGATGATGCCTGTTTGTGTGTGTGTGTAGTAGGGGTTGTACTTGTCTGTGTGCATGTGGTAGGAGATGGTGCTTGTGTATGGTAGGGGATGATGCTTGTTTATCTGTGTGTGGTAAGAGGATGGTGTTTGTGTGATAGGAAGATGGTTGTTGTGTGGTAGGGTGGTACTTGTTTGTGTGTATGTGGTAGTGAAATGAGCTCAATAGTACATGATAGTTAACATACGTCATCTGATTCACATTACACTCCGTAGTCACCAAAACATGTAGCTATGACTTTCTTTAAGTTACCCACTCGAAGCGACGTGTTTTCTCTAGCAAGGAAACACCGTCCATTTTTTATAGTACTGTATTGCCTGAAGGGCCAGCATGATATGTAATTTTACTTTTATCTTCTTCACCACTGATCGGCTCGTTACCCGCTTGGGCGATCGTTCACGTCTCTGTTACACACTGTTGGGAAGTACTGGGCATGCACCGGATCCTGAATGTACTTGAACCTGTTCCAGTGTTGGTCAAGTCTGGTCTTGAAAGAGCTCACACTCAGCATGTGCACCCGTAATTCAGACTTGAGTCCGACTTTGGGGAGTTTTACTACAATGTGGGAATGAGCCCATCTCAACTGTAAACTCAGTGAAATACTTTGTACTAACTCTTGACTTTCTTCACCTGGAAAATAAATTGTAGATAATATAACAAGTAAAACTAATGTTAAGATTAACAATTTGTTTATAGAAATGCCATACGTCTCAGCTGATGCCCATAACAACCTTAGCTTGCCACTCATACAAAGTCACTTAGACTATTCCTGATCATTACACTGCCTTAACACAGAAGCTAAAAGCCAAATTAAAAATTATTTAAAACAAGGCAGCGAGGTTTACTCTTGACATGAATGCAAGAGATCATATTGGCCTCAGAGTCTTACAATCACTGAAAATGTTAAGTGTGACAGATAGAGTGAAGCAACTGAGTCTGAATCACTCGTATAGGATATTCAACAGACTGTGGCCAGACTATTTAACACCAAATTTTGTAAGGATTAGGGATATGAGACGGCAGGGCACTAGAGGGAGGGAACATAATTTTGTGGTATACCGTACTGTACTGTACCTGGTGTTTGCAGTCAGGCAAAAAACACTTTCTTCTTCACAGCTATAAAAGACTGAAACAAGTCACCAAACTACAGGCACATCAAAACCAGTGATAGTGTAAAACAATTCATAGCTAAAAGTAAAAACAAAAAATACATAACAGATGAAGCTGTTCTGTGTTAACCACAAAATAGAATATGTTGAAGTGATCTGCCAACCTCGGTTAGTCCAAGTGCAATGTAATGCTTGTTAAATTTATCAGAAAACTTTCACTATTTCTCTTTTAGACATACTATTACTGATTAGAGACCTAGCCTAAGCAAAGGACCCTACTGTAAATAAGCATCTGATGGCTTTGCCAATTAGTAAGTCTGTGAATCTATCTATTTTTCATTGATAACTATCTATATCATCTAACCTTACAGAAGTGAAGAACAAGGGACAGACTGACGACAGAGGCTACATCACCACCACCCCCACCACCACCAGATGACTAAGGCTACAACACCACCAACACCAGATGGCAGAAGGCTACATCACCACTACCACCAGATGACCACCACCACCAGACTACTGAGGCATCACCACCACCACCAGATGACAGGAGGCTTCATCAACCTCACCACCAGATGGCCACCACCACCAGATGACTGAGGCACCACCATCACCACCAGATGGCCACCACCACCACCAGATGACCACCACCACCAGATGACCACCACTACCAGATGACTGAGGCGCCACCACCATCACCACCAGATGACTGAGGCACCACCACCACCAGATGACCACCACCATACCACACCACCACCACCAGATGACAGGAGGCTTCATCAACCTCACCACCAGATGGCCACCACCACCAGATGACTGAGGCACCACCATCACCACCAGATGGCCACCACCACCACCAGATGACCACCACCACCAGATGACCACCACTACCAGATGACTGAGGCGCCACCACCATCACCACCAGATGACTGAGGCACCACCACCACCAGATGACCACCACCAACACCACCAGACGACCACCACCAACACCACCAGACGACCACCAACACCACAGGTGGTTGGTGTAAAGGATCGATGTACCAGATGTGAAGGCAAACTGGCCAGATTACCTCGGCGACTGTTCTCTACTGTACTGTCAACCATCCCACAGCCCACACCTTCATGAGTACCACCTTATTAAGCACAAATTTATTTATACAATTAAGAATTGATAAAATATTAAAAGTACAGTAAAGTAATATTTAAGAAAGTACAGTAAAGTAATATTTAAGAACATATAAGTATGCCTTGAGTCAAGCCACACATTAAAAAAAAGTAGATATATTGTGTAATGGTTAAGAAAACATCAAAAGCAAGCGGGCAGGAAGACAATCTTCATGATATCCACAAAAAGTAGAAAGCAGTAATAAAAACACGAAGTTTCAGATTTCAGTCTTGAAAGTATATATATATTTCAGGGTGGATAAGGCCGAAATACATTACTGTACATGTTCGAATGTTCTGATAAGAATCACACACACACACACACACACACACTATAATTTCTATAAATTTAAGACAGCATAGTCCAGTGCATTAGTGGTATAATAAGCGAGTAAACTCTGATAACACAATTAATTAATTTAGTTTTTAAAATTTAATTTACTGATAAACATAAAAGTCCATCAGTTTACCAAACGCTTCACTTTTAACTGCTACACTGGGACAATTTCTCTACACCGCCTTTGAGATAAGCATCAATTAGGTAACCCATTCCAATTGTAAATCTGTATGGGAATTTTACTGACTAATAATATAATAATAATATTATTTTTATTATTATTATTAATTTTATTATTATTATTATTATTATTATTATTATTATTATTATTATTATTATTATTATTATTACAGCGTTATATTATGGATACTTGAATTTGATGCCAAAAAGTGTTACACAGAACAATGTTACAAATAACACGGGAACAAACCCATTAACCAATTTATTATTTTTCCTATACTGCTGCTTTTCTTAAAGGAACCTTACTCCAAAAATAATACTGGTATATTTCGTTAATATAAGGAAGATATTGGGATTCCTACGAATATTGCGAGAAATGACGCTATCATCTCCCGGGAAGTTCAAAGTCGTCAACACAGCTGACTGAGCCACACACACACAGCTCCGTAACGTCCACCACCACCCGCTGTTGTGAGTCCCCAAACACTTTCACTTGTTTTATATTAATTTTGTATCTGATTAGTCAATTTCCGTTTTTTAATGAAGGTTCTAGGCGGATGTGACTGGTTAAGAGTTATTTTGGGAATATTTGATTCAAACCATTTCTTTTGGCTTGTTGTCAAAAGACGTTGGGAGGCTTTTGTTGTAATCTAAGGTTGTTCTTTTAATTGTTTGGAGTCATAATATGATGTGCCAACCCTTGAATACGAACAAATGATATTGTGCTGACCGTTTAAGTATGAAAATGTTGTGATTTTACTCTTGGAAATTCAAATTGGTCAGGAAACATGATCAGAGAAACCTGTTGCTCTCTGTTTTGTTCCTGTGTGTTGACCTGGCTTAAGTGAGATTATGGCAGATTAAGTTAGCTTTGTGTTTGATTAATCTGTTTGATAGTTGTCAGCATATTGATTCAGTGATCTGTTACATTGTTATGCACCCAAGTATAAGGTAAAATTTTACTTTCCTGTAAGTAGCTGAGAGTAAAGGCTGGTAAAGTTTTACTTTCAGACAACACTTAAATCTCAGGAATTTTATATTTGCAATTAAGAGTTAAGACAATTCCAAGACACCTTCCTTCGATGGCGTTTCTCTCGTTAATGACCCCCAAAACTACCTAGCTTGACTTAACCCTTGGGCCCCCCCAGGTATATATATCGTTTGCAAAGGAAAAGCCATAGAAGAACAGTGTCTTGGAATTGTCTATACTATTGTTTACAAAGATAACATTCTTGAGGTTCCCGTGTTGTCCAAACGTAAAATAATACCAGAGGTTTACAATAGGGGCACCAACCAGCTAGCTGTTTTCTGAATTTTTTGATGAAATTCAAAATAAGTTACACATTTTTATTGTACAGCAATGATATACTATATACATACTGTAGGTAATTGTGAAGAATGAATACAGATTTATTAGTAAGTTTGGTAATAGACTTGAACTGGCAGCCTAGCAAAAAAATATGTGTAGAAGAAAACTTATTTTTTTATTCAAGAATATAGCAAATCAGGTAGAGGAAGAGCAAACAACAATGCCATGTTTATGCCCACGACACTTCCCAGCCAGCAACTGACTGATTTTCCATCTTTTCAATTTAAACCTACCTAACATCCTTGAATTGGCCCTTTAACCATTGATTCTTGATGAGTTAATGGGGCTGGAACATGTAAAAGTATACTGTATAGGGTTTTTAATAGCAAAACCCAACTGTCTTTCTTCTATTTATTATGAAAATATATTATATACAGTTCCAAGTGTATATCACCATAACTTAATCACTGTACTGTACTAGCTATGAGTGTTAAATAAGGACGGAGGCTGTGTTAAATAGCTCTTCTAAAATACGTCCTGTTGGGGGTGAGGGGTTGAGTAAGAGTGCCTGTAATACCCGTTGAGGGAGAACGGTAATACTGTATACGTCCTCCCTCGAGGGAAGATGGAACCATCCACGATGGCTCTCAATAACGTCTTCCTCTAGTCAAGGATATCAAACTACTGCCGCATCGGGTGGCCAAAGGGCCAGCTACGTAATATCTTAGCTCAGCACTAAGTGACGCGACTCCCCGTGGGCACACATTAACACGTGCTCTGAACATGCTACCTCATAGCTAATGAAAAGTTACAGAGGGTAATAGAGTGTATATAAGTCTAATGTAATTAACCCATTTACTGTATATAAATATTTCTGCCTATAAGACATGGGCTATTACAACCTATTCTGAAATCCTAGGTTTGGTAGGTACATTCTATTTTATTCATGTTGTCTGTAATAAATCATAATACATACCTGTATAATGTAATGGTAATTATTGATGACTAACCCGTTGCCAAAATTCATATAAAACGATTTTGAAAATGCCGCAATTTCACTTTTTTTCTATATATATTTTTTTTAGCGGACATTGTTGTAGCTTGTGCAAATGTGTTACAAAAATTTATTTCTAAAATAAACGTAACCTAACCTTAGTGGGTATGAAAAACAGGTCTCACCAACCTAGCTAAATAAACCTACCTAACTCCCTTATGGAGCCCCTGGACCCCTGGTATATTAAACAGAAAGAACTTACTATGATATGGTGTAATTTGAGGTTTTTTCTGGACGTAAGACCATGTGGCAGCATTGGCGCTTATGCAGTCCGGGCGGCTGAGTGATTTGTTATTGAGATGGCGGTAAACGGCGAGCCAAGGCATTAAGGAAGTGATGAATGATTGTTTCCAATCAACAACTGATTTGGCACACAAACCCAGTTCTATTTCACAGTATTGCTGTGAAAAATACTTTTTATTTGAAGGAACGATGCTGTGGTCTTTGAAAAACTGAAGGGTCTTGTTGTCTTTATCCCTAAATTGGCAAATTACGTCCATAAAAGACCGGCTACAACCTTCACACGTCATGCTGAAAATGAAACTGCTGAGGGGAAGAGAGACTCCTCTCTAGAGCGCGGTCTCATTATCGCCGGGAAGACAAACTGGTGTGGACCTAGGCATCTAATTATCTACAAAATGAAGCATTTGCTCAAGAAATGATTGTCATATCAGAACTTACTGATGCAAATAAAAAGTAAGATAATAATTAATATAGCAAATAAGTAGTCCTCGGGTTAGTCGTCAATATTAACTAACGTAATAATGACATTTTCTGCAAATGTTTGTATGTATAGAAAGGATGATAATACTGTGACTGAGAATCTACCACATTTATATGTATTGCCAAACTAATAATCTTTTTCTGAAAATTACAAACTCTACAATTATTCTACCTTTTGGGGGGATATTCTTTTAATGTAAGAAATGAGGGTAAAGATTCGTTTTAGTTGGTTCACCACGGAAACTACTAGAAAAAATAGGTTTTCCTCGTGTATTTTGATATCTGGTACTAATAAAAGTAGCATTCTTAAAGTGTCATGGTGTAATTTTGCATTTTTTGTTGATGTGAGAGTATGCTTGGAGCGAGCGGGTCGGGAGTAATTAAACAGCAAATGGCAACTCTAGTCGACAGCAGCAGATACCTAATGTTTGAGGGTAGATATATTCAAAAAAGGCATTTGCACAAGAAACATTACTCGTAAATATCAATTTGCAATTTAAAAAAAAAAACATATTTAGGGTACTTAAAAACACTAGAAGAGGACTGGGTGAACAACTAATATTAACCCGTGTGCTATAAAAAAGTCCAAAATACTTGAAAAATATAAATTTGTGATGGAAGCGTAACAATATGTCGGACAAAACATGTCTAAATACTGACCAAGGCGATGTCAAGCATGTCAAAGTACAGTTTTAATTTAGGTATGTTTCAAAATACCGGTACTGAGGAGCTGTAGCACCTCTGTGATAGTTTATTCCCCCTAGAAAGTTATCTATGTGAAAATAAATAAATTTTTTGGGATTTGTTTCATGTACAATATTTGTATTTATTTATTTATTATTATTTATTTATATTTTTTTTCAGGATATATCAGCCACAATGAACAACGAAGACCCCATACTTGAACGTCACTTTAAAGGCCACAAGGATGTGGTCACAGCTTTGGACTTTAGTCCTAATGGGAAAAAATTGGTGTCTGCATCACTGGACCACACCATTATGATCTGGAATCTCCATCAACAGATCCGTGCCTACAGGTTAGTTTATGCATCTTTGTTTTTGCTGTAGTTTTAAAGAATACAGTACTGTATTACACTTAGTAATCTTTACAATACATCTACTGGACCTGTACTGTAATCCCTTGCTAACTGCAGGGTTTACATTCCGGAATTCTCCCACAGTTGGCAAAGGCTGGATCTTATGGGAAGTACAAGTCAGTGTTAAAAGTAAGTACAGTACTGTACTGTACAGGGTGTATGATGTACTGTACTCTACTGTACATGCTCATGTACAAGTCTTTTAACTTTTTTTATAGAATTTGACTTCATAAAACTTGGAATTGTGAAGTTTATTGTATTTCATAAATATACAGTAATATTGTTTTATCAACAGTAGAACTTTTATGGGGGAGTTAATTGACCCTTTTCCAATTGTTTGACAACTTGTGCTGTACATAGTAAGAATAAGTTGGTGAAATACAGTATAATTAAGAACATAGTTCCCCTGTGATAATATCCTACCTGCCTTATTGCAGTTTTGATTTACCTGGCTTTGTAATTTGGTTTTTATGACTAAAATATATTATTTTTGAAAAATGCTCCTCCCCCCATGCTGTCATAAGAAAATCTAACCAGAAGGACAGATTGCAGTAATTTAGTTAACCATTAATCAACAAGAACCTTTGCTATGTGTAAAGATGCATTTTTACTCTGTTGTGGATCCTTCCACTTGCAGTGTGGAAGACAGTGGCAGTCTGTTACTGGAGTGGCCATTTTGTTGAACTTTACGTGATTGTAGTGAGCATTGTGTATGTACAGTAAGTCCTCGCTCAACGTAATGGTTCCGTTCCTGAAAACCGCGACGTTAATGGAAACAACGTTAACGGAATAAATTTTCCCCATAAGAAATAGATAAAATACGGGAGTTACATTCCCAGCCTCCCTTTGCCCTATAAAATACATTACATATACCCGGTACATAAATTCAACAACAACAAAAAATTGGTGACCAAGTTTACATAAGTGAACAGAAGATAGTCTGACATATTGTACAGTATAGGTATACAGATTTTGATGGATGGCTAAAGTTGCACAGCAATTTGCCAATAATTTCTTTATTGTCTAGATCAGTATTATTATTTTTGCAGGTTTATAGGCCACACAGACGCTGTCAACGATGTTTGCTTTTCTCCCAGTGGCAATCTAATGGCATCAGCATCTCGTGATCGTTCAGTCAGGCTTTGGATTCCCAACATTAGAGGTTGGTATTCCAGGGACTTTTATAGTTTGATACTGTATTGACTGTCAATGTGGAGGGGCGGGGGCATCTTCAAATTGGAAAGTATGCAATTTAAATGACTACAAATCTCAATTTTGATAAGAAATTACATAAAAATGGCATCTAAAAAAGAAGGGAATTGATTGTTTCAAATAATTAGTGAAATTCTTATGGGTGAAATTATATCAGAGTTATTTAATTAACTGTAATTACTTGACTTTGTAGTTTTTTCATTCAAATCCTTAATTTGCATGGCCAAAGGCACAGTCTCGTTCAAGATTCTTTGAACACTGCTGGAGACAGCTGGCAACTCATGGCCGTTTGTTTACTATAGTACGTAGTATGATATAAAACGAAACGACAAAGCCCAACCATTAAATTAAGCAATGGGGAACTAAGTAACCAATACTGATCACTTTTACATTTATTCATAATTTTTACTATGTACTAATGTACTGTATAGTAAACAAACGGCCTTGAGTTGCCAGCTGTCTCCAGCCGTGTTCGAAGAATCTTGAACGAGACTACCTATGGTGAAAAGGCAAAGTACAGTACAGTATTAGGCAGTGTCTTAATGGTATTTAATTTAAAGTATTGTACAGTACTTTCCTTATTTTTATGTTCTTTATTTGTTCTTTAAACTTATGGGTAATCTTTATGTTTAAAAGTTCTGTAAAAAAAAAATGTGTTTTAAAGGCAGCTTCTAATATTATTACAGTACCTGTACTTGGGATAGTGTCCCTTCTGGATATATAATTATAGGCAGCTCAATCCTGATTCCCATCTTACTTTGCTAAGTACTTGGTGGAAGTGCTAGAGATAAGGAATAAACTGTAATACAATGTGTGGCTACATCAAACCGTAGCTAATGGTTTAGCTACACCAGGGAATTTTACAAAATGAGGATTCCCCAACATTATTGTATTCTAACAATTATTCCTGTGCTAAAAAATTATTTAATATCCTTTATACTATGTTAACAAGACAAGACAAAGTTTCTATCTCTTTCTCTTCAAATTTTTTCTCTTTCCTTTTGGACACGCTGCAACATCAAAGAACGGGGATTTAAGATGACCTTTGAATAATTTTAGTAAACCTCTGCCCTTATTAGTTGGTGGCAGCATTCAATGTTTCAGTAGACAAAGATTATGATACTGTATTTACCTTAGCTACAATTTAATTTACTATTTTATCTTTTCAGGAGATTCTACAGAATTTCGTGCTCACTTGGCAACTGTCCGTTCAGTGCATTTCTCTCCAGATGGTCAGCAGTTGGTGACTGGCTCAGATGACAAAACAATTAAGCTTTGGACTGTACACAGACATAAATTTGTTTGTTCCATTCCCACACACACCAATTGGGTTAGTTTCATTATAAATATGCTCAGGGTATCTATAATTTAATCAACTGGTTGTTCGTACACTGATGATTGCTTGCGAGTTTGTGTGTACAGTAGGTGTTAATTTTCTTTTGATGCAGTACATACCTGATATCGGTACTGTACTGTATATGCTATTAGGTAAATTAATATAGTGTCTGTGGAGAAAAAAATGATAGAAAATATATAGAAGAAAGATATTTATTTGATATAAGATTATAAATAATAGCAGGAGTCAAATTTGATTAAAATAATTCCAATTTTATTTCAGGTACGTTGTGTAAGATTTTCCCCAGATGGCCGTATGCTTGTTTCCTGTGCAGACGACAAAACAGTCAAGCTTCATGATATACAAACTGCAAGTACTCTCCACAGCTTTGCAGATTTGAGAAGCTCATCAAATTATGTTGCTTTCCACCCATCAGGCACTTGTATTGCTGTAGCTAATGCTGACAATTCTGTTAAGGTGAGTTTCCTGATAATGAGAGAGTATGCAGTATATATGTGGATAAGTGCCAAGCATGTCAGTACAGTATTTAATGTTTGGAGTACCTGCCCTATGTTTAGCTGCTTCTCATATCCAGTGTAGGGCATATAATGAAAATTTATGGTGAAATATTATGAGTGGATAGTACAACTAGGGAGACGAGGTGAGGAAAGGTCGCTGTCGCATGTTTGTGTACTGTACTGTCTCTTAGAGCAAATGTCTCCCTGTCCTGTCCGCGAAATTGCCGGCAACTTTAAAACTACTCGCAGACATTCTTGGGTACATCCAAGGTGCCATCCATGAATAATAGAGGACCACGAAATAAAAATCCGCGAATTATCCAGGCATACTGTATATATATATATATATACTGTATACAGTATATATATATATATATATATATATATATATATATATATATATATATATATATATATATATATATATATATATATATATATATATATATATATATATATATATATATATATATATATATATATATATATATATATATATATATATATATATATATATATATATATATATATATATATATATATATATATATATATATATATATATATATATATACTGTATACAGTATATAGTTCTCTTGGTTTCAGCACTTAAATTTCCTTTAGCTTACTCAGATGTTGCTTTATGATCACATATCGATTTACATTACTTTAGTGTTTATTGGCGCGCAAAAAACTAGTTTCCTGTACTTCAATTAAGTTCAATAATTGTTAAAATGGCTAAAAAAATTATATAAAACTTTTAAAATTATTGAATAGTACAACCTTCTTGATATTCACTAAAATGGTAAGGAATTTAAGCCCTAAAACCGATTACAGTGGTCCCTTGGTTAACGAGCACAATCCGTTCCAGCAGGTTGCTTGTTAACCGAAACCATTGTTTCAATGGGTTTTTGGGTAATTGGTTCCAGCTCACCGAAAATTGCCTAAATTCAACAAAAAAGGTAGAAAAGTTCACTTATTTTGAGGTGTGTATGTTGAAGGCTCCTGGATGATGATGATGATGATGATGTGAATTTGAAGTGGGAGGTGGAGGAGAAGAAGGGAGAAGAGAAGGAAGTGGAGGTGGAGGAGAAGCATTTTACTGCTTCTTGGAAGGTGAGTCACCTTCCATGAAAATGTCAGGAACCTCTGGACTGACAGATTCTCCACCATGAACATCCTCTCTCCTTCTTGAAATGGAAGGCTGAGGGATAGCATCTTGTTCCCTCTGCCTTTTACTGAAGAAAGTGTCAATTGTGGTCTGTGGGGCCATCTGTCCTCCTCACCATTAACTTATGTTTTAAGAAGGAGACCACTGAGTCCTCAACATGACACAAAGTTAGTTCAGTTTTTTCCACTTCTGGGTGCTTTGAAGCCAGTTCCCTGAACTTCTCCCAGTGGTAAATCACATCTTTCAACTGTTTAGCTGACATATGGTCATCACTTTCAATTTCCTCCTCACCACTGTCAGCCTCTACCTGTAACATCTCATCCAGTTGCTTCAAGTCATCAGGAGTAAGTTCCTCCTCATGAGACATCACAAGCTCTTCCACATCCTCCTCCTCCACTTCAAGGCCCAATGACTGACCAATGGACACAATCTCCTGGTCCATCTCTGTTTCTTCCTCAAATCCCTCAAAATCATGGACTACTGATGGCCACAGTGCTTTCCATGAAGAATTGAGGGATCTAGTGGAGACTTCTTGCCATGATGACACAATCCATTTTACAGCCTCCAGGATGTTGAATTGTGCCTTCCAGAAATGTTTCAGTGTTAGTTCAGGATCATTGGAAGTTGCCTGATGACACCTCTTAAACATTTTCTTCATGTACAACTTCTTGAAGTTGCTGATCACATTCTGGTCCATTGGCTGTATGATTGATGTAGTGTTTGGAGGCAAAAACAACACTTTGACAAAGTCAAATTGAGACTCCAAATTTCTGGCAAGGTCAGGGTCATGACCAGGAGCATTATCCATGAGGAGAAGAGCCTTTAAAGGGAGTTTATTGGTGGTTAGGTAGCTCTTGACAGAAGGGCAAAACACATCAACAGCCCATTCATTAAAGAGCTGTCTTGTCACCCATGCCTTACGGTTGGACTTCCAATAAACTCCAAGCTTTGTTCTTACCACTTTCTGTTGCTTGAACACCCTGGGGTTTTCAGAGTGGTAGACAAGCATAGGCTTCAGTCGGAAATCCCCTAAAGCATTGGCACCAAGCAATAGAGTGAGACGGTCTTTCATGGGTTTATGCCCAGGTAAAGAGGCTTCATCTCTGGTGATGAGTGTTCTTTTGGGCATCTTTTTCCAGAACAGCCCAGTTTTGTCCACATTGAACACTTGATGTGGAAGATAATTTTCTTCTTCCATCAGTTTTTTAAATTCATCTAAAAACTTTGCTGCCCCTTCCTTAGCACTAGCAGCTTCACCATGCCTAACAACACTGAAAATGTCACTTCTTTTCTTAAATTTTTCGAACCAGCCTTTGCTGGCCCGAAAATCTTCAAATTCTGTGCCTGAAGAACCAGGTTGATCTGTCTTTAAATGTTCGTAAATCTCCTTGGCTCTTTCACAAATGAAATCAGTAGAAACTGAATCACCTTTCATCTGTTTTTCCCTTATCCAGATGAGAAGTAACCTCTCAGTTTCTGCAATTAGGGATCTACTTTTAAACACTCTTGTAGATTTGTCTCTCACTTTCACTTTTTAAATTTGTCTTTCTGTGCAAGAATTGTCAACACAGTTGATGTCGACATGCTATATTCTTTGCATAGCGCATTTGTTCTAATGCCTTGTTCATGTTTTTTTATGATTTCCTGCTTGGTTTGGATTGAAATCGCTTTTCTTGATCTCTTAGGCCCCATGCTGGATTCAAACAATGTCAACACGTGCTTTTTAAAGTTAAACTTGTTGTAAATAAAGAATATTTTCTTTAAAATAACACTGCACTGCGCTATATATTGTCAATATGTAAAATAAATTTCAAAATGACCAATAATTTGCTTGGAAACACAGAAAAAAAGCATTTAGTTGGAGAGTCTCAAGCAAGATGTTACCTCCAGTGAAAACAGAGAGAGACTAAAGCCTGTTTGCTGTGTTAAGAGGCTGGATGCCGCGCATTAAACTAGTCACTTTACCTTCAATTATGTTCAATAATTGTTAAAATGACTAAAAAAATTGAATATTAAACTTTTAAAATTATTGAATCGTATAAACTTCTTGATATTTACTAAAATAGTAAGGAATTTAAGCCCTAGAACCGATTAATGTATTGGCGGACTAATACTACAGCTGGTTGACCGCCCAGTGCAAGCCAAAACTTGTTGAGGTCGGCTCGTAAGAAACTCGTTAACCGAGGGGTTGCTCGTTAACCGAAGTGAAGAATCTTATAGAAGGTAATTCGTTAACCGAGGGATCACTGTAGATGTAATTGAAAATTCCCATTTGGTTTGTGATAACTTTGTAAGTCTCTTAACCTGATGTCTATTCTTCAGGTATATGACATCCGAACACGAAAGCTACTTCAACAATATGATACCCACTCTGGCCCTGTCCATCGCCTTGCCTTCCATCCATCAGGTAAGTCCTCTTTGCTTTTATGTAACTGTAGGTGTTATGTTAATTTGCAAAGAAAGTACAGTGGGGTATGCTATAACGAACGTAATTGGTTCCAGAACCTCGTTCGTTATAGCATTCGTTCGTTATAGGATTAATCCGTTCCAGGCCCCCAAATACAACCACCTAACACTGAAAAAATTCTGTGGAAAATGTAAAAAATACGGTACTTTATCTTACCTTAGTGTTATTCAGCATGCAGGTACCCCTAAACACTGGCACATCACTATCACTTCCACTGGGAGTCTTGGCTTTAAGGTCCTCAAACAATTGTCTGGCCTTCTCACAAATTATAGCTTCACTAATGTTACCACCTGCCATTTCTTTCTCCTTTATCCACACTAAGAGTAAATTTTCCATCTCTTCAATCACATTACACTTTGCTTTGCTAAGTCTAAAGATTCCCTTTGCCACTTGCACAGTTTTTAACTCCTCTTTATTCTTCAAAATCGTACATATAGTCGATTTAGCCATCCCATATTCATCACTAAGTTTCGCAATGCTTCTTCCATTCTCACGTTTCTTTATAATTTCTTTCTTAGTTTCAAGGGTTATTAGCTTTCTCACTCGCTTTGGACGACTCATTGTTACAATTGTATACTTGTATAACAAAATAGTTATACAAATAACGCGAATTTCCACATCAAAAGACGAAATTTCAACAATAACAGTGGTGCACTGACTACACAATGAGACAAAGATGGCGCCTGACTCTCTTGTTGTGGGTCGCGGTACAACAATATTCATGCGCCAGGCGAAATAGTCCCGTATTCATCCGCGTTCGTTGTAGGAGTTGCGTTCGTTATAGCATTCTCAATTTTATAGGTAAAACCGTTCGTTATAGGAATATTCGTAGTAGGATCCGTTCGTTATAGCATACCCCACTGTACAGAGGATATTTATAAAGTACTGTATATGCAATATGAATATTAAACCCTATAGCTGAACTTCAAATATTAAATTTATAGATGTTTATATAAAAGAAAATTTTATGTTTTAATTGCACTCCTATAAATTTATATACGGTATACTGTAGTTGTATGTTAAACCTGTATAAAGTAAATATATTCTTAGCGTCGATGAAGTGGTTAATACAGTATTTACAAAAGCTTGTACTTTCTCATCAGTAGCAAGAAAAATGTACTCTTACTTTTTGTTGTATTGTTGCTCCTCATATGTGTACAGTATTTTCAAGTTACAATAACTTTCCCTTTAAGTTTTCTCACTCAAGCTGCCATTTTCTTTTCACATGGAATATGGCAGATGGATACTAGTACTGTACATGAATGTTTACAATTGATCAACAACCATGACAGTAATCCCTCCATCCAACACATATACAATAGTACATTAAATGGAGGTTCATTTAACGGACTTCGGTCTTATGGACTACCCTCTCCCACATAGTCCATTGGATAGAGGTTTTCACTGTATTTATCAGGAAGATTCTAATGTGCATTAGCTCCTATGTGCTGTTGTAAATTATCCACACACCCACTTCTAAGAGACCAATTTACAGTATTTCCGTATACTGGTGAGGTATGATGCTTGTGTATTATGAAAGTTGAAAGCTTTTAATGCTCACTCAAATACTTCTGTAGTGTTAGGAGTTAACTGTCAAAAAATATAATTTGAAAACCAGTCAGAATACAGTACTGTACACAGCTCCTCCAGTTTAAGGAAAGGTTCCATTCCTGGACCTATCTGTAAGCTGAATTTTCTGTAAACCGAAAATGACCCTTCCATAAAGTAAACATGTACTGTACCCTGTACTGAATAACAAATGGCGTCTCACAAGGGGATGCGCTCAGCCTCCTTATGTATAATCCTCCACAAATACAGTAGAAGTCCAAAAATCCGGACTGCTCGGGGATTGGGTCGGTCCGGATGTTTGGATTTTCCGGATTCTCAGGCAGTACTTTTAAAATTCAAATTTAAGGAGGAATAAAGAAGAAATGAACAGGTACATTTTGATAGTTTATTCATTAGCAAATAAAGCATGCTTCATTTATCAAAACTAGCAGTTTTAAAGAAAAATAAAGTGAACACTTGACAAAAATGTAAACAAACTGTCTAATACCATGACGAGTCTTGAAATTCCCTAAGCCATCCATCACTAAATGCGCACTCTGATTCAATGTTCATTTGCTCCTTAAAAGATTTTGCTATGGCAATAAGCATCGGCCCAGAAATCTGCCATACCTTCTGATCGTTTTAACAGAAACCATTCGTGCAACACTTTATGAAGATTTTCTAATTTGGGCCGATGTAAACTTTTTCTTTCAGCAATTTTATTGTAAGTCTCAGAAGAAGCTGTGAATTCTAGAATTTTATTCTATGCCTTTATTATATCATAAATTGTAGACTTTCCAATGTCGTATGTTTCCATTAGAACAGCATTGCTCACATCACGTTCTAGTTTCTTAATTATTTCAAGTTTGTCACTCAATTTCAATGTGTTCTTCTTTCTCTTCACACAACGAAGTTTATCTACTTTAGGAGCCATTATTATGGGCTTGTACTCTGTAAATGGAAAGAGTAGGACTCAAAATTACATACGTTGTCACAGTTTGATCGCTTGTTTTAAAGTGGCGACCGCGTGGTCACTTGTTGTTGCTGTGCAGCTGTGGCGTTCACGCATGCACACATACACACAAAAGATTTATAGTGCCTCAAATTTTACATTTCAGGACAAGCTAATTACAAAACTAACAAAATTAGCTACCTATAATTTACAATTACTTTTATTATTAGAATTATGTAAATTAATTTTTTTAAAACAACTCCATTCATTCACGTAACCCACAAAAGCCCGCTAAATTTAAAAAGTTTGAGGGTTTTCGAAAAGTCCGGATTCTCGGGTGGTCCGGATTTCTGGCATCCGGATTTTTTGGACTTTTACTGTAGTGTTGTTACGCCGCACTAATTACCTTCCATAACAACATAAACTTTTGTGCAACCAAAATTTTTTCATAATGGGACTTATGGGAGGCATTCTGTATCCTCGAATTTCTGTAAACCGAGTGTTCTGGAACCCGGGGAGTGTGTACAGTATGGGAATTTGCCAGTAAACATGATTTTTTTTTTCTCCATTTTACTTTTGTAGAAATTTAAGGAGAAGGAGCTCTGTTTAGGTGGATAGTGTGTACTGTGGAGTGTGAGAGGTAGAGTAGGGCAGGTTAGGTAGACAGTGGGTACTGTGGAGTGTGAGAGGTAGAGTAGAGTAGGACTCTGGTTTTGGGGAGTGGAGGGTCTGCTGTATTTACCTTCAGCATTTCACTCAAATTTATAATCAGCTAGTTTGTTTCTTTCTTATGGACTCTTATTCTTTTATCTAATGGTTGCTCATCACCTGTCCAACTGTACCACCGACTACAACCTACTTTTTGTAATGCTCAGCCTTTGTGTTTCATAACTACTTTAGTAGAAGTTCTATACAAGTAATACCCTTCTGGAATCCTTGACTAATGCAGCCAGCTGTTCGATTTTCCCCCATCATAGTTTTTTGTTAATCAATGTTCTATTTGTATTTTCCTTATAGTATATATTCAGTTCCTTTTCTGCATCTTCAATAAATGTTAGATTTTGCAACTGTGAGGTAATTTATTATAAATATACTGTACAGTACTCAATTTCACCCAAAACTTATCGTTTCCCCTTAGTATCAACGACATTCTTATTCCAGGACACATTTTGGAAACTTGCTCAGCTGATGGAACTCTCAAACTGTTGGACCTACTAGAGGGAAGAGCCATTTATACTCTCCATGGACATCAAGGAGCTGTAACTTGCTGTGGTTTTTCATATAATGGCGAGTACTTTGCTTCAGGTGGTCGAGACAAACAGGTAAATGTCTTTTAAATTTGTATTCTCACGATATTTATTTTGAGCATCGTAAGAATGGAAAATAGTGCAGTTTTCATCTTTTAATTTGGTGAGACTTTGTTAGGTATAAGGAAATGAACACATTGAAGCTTCTACCAAGTCCCTCTTTTTACTTATACAGCTCCTCCCCGACTTACGACCTGCCTCAGTCGTACCAAAATTTTGTCAAATTACATATTTTCGAGTCTTAACGTCAGTACACAGACAAAATTTTCGTTTTTAATTCATTTTAAAATGGCTGGCAAGCTTAAAAGTGAGAGTTTTGTGATGCTGAGAAGAAAAAGAGACACCCATTTTAGATTTTCTATGTATTATTTAAGCATTTTTTACTTACGACCTGGAATTGTGTCCCTAACCCCGTTGTAAGTCGGGGAGGAGCTGTATGTCTTATTTTATTACATTCAAAGCTGAGTTGAACTTTAGCACATCTGTTTTTAGCCTCTGCAAATGTGGGTCAGTGTATTGTTTTTGGTCCTGTCTGTGTACCTTCAAAAAACGAGTTTGCAGATTTGCGTCAAACTTGTTAGATTTGATGAACATGTGACAAAATCTACATGATAAACAATTTGGTACAAAATTTATCAAGTGTTGCCATGGTACCAGTTTGAGTTTGTGCACTGATAACACGCAAGGTTTTCCATGATTAAAGAAACTGATGAAATGAAAATAATTTCCAGCAGTAACTACAGTATATTGAATTACAGTAACACCATCTCTCTTTTCACTCAGATGGTGTTTGATTACCTGTAATTTAATTTTTATTCCTAGCCTTTGATATAGAGCAAAAAGCATGTTTTGCTTTTATGTTTGCTGGGTTTTGTTAAGGCAACTGCTTAAAGTAATTTGTACCTCTTAATTTTTCTCTTTTCCAAATAAACTTTGATTTAATAAAAATTTTTAATCAAATCATAGCCACTAGCAAAGCACCATAAATAGAAACAACTTAAACAGAACACTTAATTTACTGAAGCTTAGTTACTTTGCTCTTAATGAGTTCATTATACTGTATAAGTAGGAGACTGAACTGGATAAGTGTTTTAATTAGGAAGGTAACATTTATTCACTTATAATAATTATTTATCACATTATTTCAGTGGACTGAAAGTATTATGAGGCATAATTTTAATTCAGGTGATGGTGTGGAAAACCAACTTTAAACCAGTGGAGCTATGTGAGGGTCTGGAGGTAACTGAAGAGGCAGACCATGAGCAGCCATTGGAGGTGACTGTTGCAGTGTCACCAGACGACTCTGTGGATGAGGAACAAATCACTAACGTTCAGGGCAGGAGTGAACCTGAAACTTTTCATAACTACAACACAAATAAGTACAAGGTATGAAGTGTATAGGACAAGATGTTTTGTATGATAACTAGATTTCTGTGATGTCAGCTCATCTGACAGATACCTGGGTGCTGTCAAGGAGTGACTCCTTGACAGCACTTATTATTTTACAAGTCTCATAATTGGAGGGATGTGGAAAATAGTCTATTGATATATAACCCTACATTTAAGGATACTATTTTTTCATATATTTTTTTTAAACTGGTGATTAGGTAAGTCATTAATATATTTGCTTTCCCATTTTGAAGTGTGGCCACCATCACACAGTCATTCTTTTAGTGTTTATAGATAACACTTTAAAATATATTAATTCATGCCAAAACTTTTAACCAAATTTTTTTTTCCAACAGAATACAAATGGGAGTGCAGAGGAGGATACATCTACAGGTTTACAACAAGTGAAAGGTTCTCTCCAACATATCATAGCCCAGCTTGACACTCTTACTCAGACTGTTGTAATCTTAGAACAGAGATTGTCTCTTGCCGAGAACAAAATCACTGAACTTGTAAACAATCAGCGTAACACTCACTGAAGAGCTCCATCACACTTCTTGCTAGACTTATTGAGGACAAGTTAATATATACAGTAAATCCTCAATTTATGTGGGGGGTCACCTTGAAAACCCTTATAAAAGTAAATTCAGCTTAACTGAATATCACTTATGGGAAATGGAAGTACTGTGTCTGATTCCAAATCTAAAAAAAAATTAACCTTTTCCATAAATACACCTTTAAAGGTTTTCAGTAAAAGGTGGTAATTTTTTGACCCCTCATTAATGAGCAGTATACTGTATAGGGAACAAAATTACATGGATAATTAACATAAATGAATACTCGGTCTTGTCTGCCAATGCACCTCTCAAGGTTTTTAATGAATTCTATCCACTTGCTAAAATTTTCTTTCTAGTATAAATACTGTACTGTAGCTTTTCTAATGTATATAAACAAGGGTTGAAGTTTAAATATTGTTTGGCTTTTATATTTAAGTAAACACATTTGTACAGGTATTTTATGTTTGTGTCTAGTTAGTCACCAGTATAATGATAAAATATAAATAAAATTGCGTATATCTACCCGAAAACACGAGTTGAAAAATAACAATACACTAACACAGTTTGGCCATTCACACTGTGCCTCATGTAAGAAATAATTTCAAGTTTAACATAAGGTTTCCTAATTTAATAATCTTATAAATATATACTGTACCTTTTAATGAGTTTGTTTCATTGATGCTGTACTGTAGTTTATATTTTTTAAGCTTGATGTAGTCAAGGAGTGCAGCATATGGGATACTTTTAAAACTATTTCATGAACCATTTGTACAAAGATCATTTAGGAGATAGGTAATGATGAACATAACCTACTGTTATTAAAAGTTCAAACATTATTACAGGATATTTATTTTTCACAGCATATTCACTGTTACTAACTGCTAAATTTAAGGAAAAATTTAATGAAAGTATTTAAAGCTTAGCTTAGAAAATTGGAAATGGTTAATGACAGTGTAAAGGGTAATGAAGGATGGTTTATTATGTGTGGTTGAGGTCTGGCTTGATAAATGGTGTGGTAACATGGTGGAATGATGAAGTGGACTGAGTGATAAGGAAGATTGTATAAGGTCTGAAAGAGCAGTAATCAATTGGGAAGAGACCAAGTGCAGGGCCAGCCAGAGGAGACTTAAAAGGTTAAGAAGCACGAACAGAATGCATTTGTGGATAAGCTGAATAGATAAGAATGCTAGAGGTGAGGTGTACAAAATAGCAAGGCAAATAGTGGGTACAAACAAGGATGTATCATTATGAACACTCAAAAGGGAAATTTTGATGCACTAATGTGGAAACTATAGGGGTCTGAAGCTGTTAGATAAGGTTATGAAAACTGTGGAAGGATTGATTAAGAAATTGATAAGCAAGGGAGTGGATACATTGAAGTGCAATTTGGACTCATGCTTGCCAAGAGAACAACAGAGGCAATATTTGTGGCCTTGACGTTCTTAATGTGTACACATGCACGCTGATACATACAATATCACACAGTAAATTCTATATAATCAATGATATATAGCAACGTTAAACACAAGCTCACTGTGCTGGTTACCATGGAAACATGGGCACACGCCCCGGGGGGCTTTTAGTTAACCGTGTTGATTGGAGCTCAGTAGCTCAAGTTTTTTCAGCGGTAAAAGTAGAGGCTTTCCTGTCTTTCTTATTATAGTCTTTAGTTTTGACAAAAGCTCAACAGTGAAAGTCATATGAAAGGCACATAACAATAGAAACGGTTTAGGAAACGGAAATTATTTTGACAACTCCGGCTCCTTAAAAATTGGCACTGTAACACTGAATACCACACACTACATGTGGCACACATAGTAAATACCACACACTACATGTGGCAGCACATATTAAATACCACACACTACAAGTGGCAGCACATATTACATAACACACACTAGATGTAGTAGCACATGTGAAATATCACACACTACATGCGGTAGCACATGTTAAATACAGTACCACACACTACATGTGGTAGCACATATTATATTTCACACACTACTTGTGGCAGCACAGTTAAATACCACACACTAGATGTGGTAGCACATGTTAAATACCACACACTATGTGGTAGCACCTGTTAAATACCACACACTACATGTGGAAGCACATGTTAAATACCACACACTATGTGGTAGCACATGTTAAATAATGTACACTAGATGTGGTAGCACATGCTAAATACCACACACACTATGTGATAGCACATGTTAAATACTACACTATGTGGTAGCACATGTTAAATACTACACTATGTGGTAGTACATGTTAAATACCACACACTACATATGGTAGCACATGTTAAATACCACAGACTACATGTTAAAGGCAAGTTCTGTTGTGTGTGTGTGTGTGTGTCAGAACCAAGCTGCTGCAGGTTTATTAATTCATTGCACAATAATGCCAGTTCTATAATTCCCTGATCAGTCTGCCAGGCACTAAATGACTATACATTATTCTTAATAAAGTCCAGAACCTTGATGTTTGTGCACCAAATTATCCTCATGAGCAGAAATATAAATGGTACATTGTATAAATAATGCTTTGTTTATGTCTTGTTTCAGTGAAGATTGTTCTATTCTCTTATGGTTTATCCACATCCAGTACTTAGAAAAGATGAAGGAAAAGAATACATTACAGGACACTACTGAGATAAGTACAGTAGGATCGTTTAGTACAGTACATTACATGAAAGCCCAGGTAAGCTGAACCAAAATACGAAAAGTGTACCATATCCAGGTAGGAATTTAATTGATTTTATCACTGATGAACAGTTGCCTGCACTTATACCTATGTGGTACAGTGGCTGCATTCTGGGTTGTAGGTTTAGCTTACATTATTTTTCAAGTTGGAATGCTAATGTATTATTGCTTGGGGCTGTACTGAATTAGGATAGAATATTATTGTAATACAACAGTTTTTTAACTGAAAACCATTCGAAAAGCGATTACGGTAACATCTTTTGAACGAAAGAAAGCGAGTCATTGCTTTCGTCACTTTCCACTGTGATACGTACGTCATTTCAGCAAAATATTACATTTCCATATTCTCAGAAATAAATAGTAGTTTTGCTGAAACGTAATGCATTTCAATGTAAATTAGGATAAACCACATGAAAACAAAAGACTTTACCTATCCTTCCGATGTTCAAGATATGTTACTCGTTTTTTTAGTAGTTTTCGGTTAAAATACTCTTATATTAGTGATATTCTATTCATACTGTGCTTGATATAATACATTCACGGAAATGTAATATTTTTGCAACTACAATGCTGATGTCAACACAAGCGTGGTTACAGCGAGACTGACTGAGTGAGGGAGAGCTATGCGTGTGTGTGTGAGGTTGCGGGAGCGGGTGGTGTCCCGTGTTCGGTGCCGCGCCCGATTTCAATGTACTTCAATGTACAGAATATTCCTCCGGCGGGGCAATCCGCGTATTTGCAAATCTGTGTATTATAAACCCGCGTATGTTAAGGGCCGACTGCATATATATATATATATTATATATATATATATATATATATATATATATATATATATATATATATATATATATATATATATATATATATATATATATATATATATATATATATATATATATATATATATATATGTATGTATGTATGTATGTACGTACGCACGCACGCACGCATATATATATATATATATATATATATATATATATATATATATATATATATATATATATATATATATATATATATATATATATATATATATATATATATATATATATATATATATATATATATATATATATATATATATATATATATATATATATATATATATATTGTGGACGAGATATCAGGAGTATAACCATTCCAGGTCAAGTGTGGAGACCACACAGATCACTACAAAGAGGATTAGTGTTTGTCACGAATGTTGAGTGAACCAATTGTATTTGAAGAGAAGTTTTGTTAGGTGTTTCTCCATGGATACTAATTAATTATTTTTGAAATTTAGAGCCTAGGTACTTGGTGGTGCTATAAATAATATTATTGTGCGCTATTAAGTATAATACGATGTGCATCATTGTTCATTCCTTCTAATAATTGTTATCCAAAATATATTTTAACTCGCGTACCTAACTTCTCATGCCATACCACGTTAATTAAGAGGTTCATTAGTTGTATTATATTCTAAAGTAAAGTCTGGGTGGTGGCAGCATTAAGAAATAACTAATTAATGAAGGTACAGTATATTAGAGTACAATGATGTGGTTCTCCCAGATTAACCCACAGAACAGAATATAACTAAGTTGGAAAAAAGTTAAGTCTGAGTGGAAACCCCAGTCAAAAATGGTGACTACAGCAGTGGGATTTATTTCATGTGATAAGCTAATTTGAGGAATGAGATGATACTCTGTATTAATTAATTCAAAGTACTGTACAATATTGTACAAATGTTGTGGGGTTTTGTTTTTTCAGAGTACACTAAATTATTTTTATTTAATTAACATACTGTACTTAAAAGAACAAAGGTTGTTCTTGGGAGTTAGGCTAGAATTAACCTAACTAACGAAATTAAAAAAATATATATTTTTTGAAATTTTAGAAAAAGTTTTAAATTTTATGATTTGTTTTATTAATGCCAGTGTATTATTTTCTTTTGTGTAAACCTGTGTTAATAAATGTTGGTACTTACAGACATGGAGTGTGGCAAGTGAGCTCCTGTCTTGTTACTGATGTGTGAAGTGGTTCCCTTCTGAGTGTTATAGGAAGTGCCGTACTGTACATCAGAACATAAGAATGGAGGAAACTGCAGCGGGCCTATTGGCCCATACTGGGCAGTCCCGTTTACACCCAACCCCTATTGCTCATATAAGCATCCAACCTATGTTTGAAGCTATTCAGCGTATTCGAGTTAATGATGATATTTGGTAACTTGTTCCATTCATCCACTACTCTGTTTTCAAACCAGTGTTTACCTATTTCACACCTAAATCTAAATTTGTCTAATTTAAAACCATTGTTATGAGTTCGCTCCTGGTTGGATAGTTTGAGTACCTTTGTAATGTCCCCTTTGTTTAGCCCTGACTTCCACTTATACACCTCTATCAGGTCACCCCTCGCTCTTCGTCTCTCGAGGGAGTGCAAATTAAGATGCTTTAGCCTGTCTCTATATTCAAGGTTCCTAATGCTCTGGATTAGTCTTGTCATTCTCCTCTGAATTCTTTCCAAGGATTCTATATCCATTCTGTAATACGGTGACCAGAACTGAACTGCGTAATCCATGTGTGGTCTCACAAGCGCAAGATATAGTTTTAGGATGACCTCGCTAGTCTTGTAACTAACACTCATTTGTATGAACCCAAGTACTTTATTAGCCTTGTTACGAGCAAAAACACATTGTTTACTTGGCTTAAGGTTCCTACTTATCATTACTCCTAAATCTCTCACAGTCGGATTTCTCTATGGTATCGTTGTTCATCTGGTTTCCCTGTTTACATCTCCTATACTGAGTACTTTACATTTGTCCACGTTGAATTTCATCTGCCATTTTTCAGACCATTCGAAAAATTTGTTTAGATCTTCCTGTAGCTTTGCTGAGTCCTCGTCAGATTTAATAACACGTCCTATTTTAGTGTCATCAGCAAATTTACTTATGTTGCTGTCTATGCCGATATCTATGTCGTTTATGTATATAATAAATAATAATGGTCCAAGTACTGAGCCTTGGGGACCTCCACTTGTGACGTTGCTCCAATGGGACTTAGTGCCGTTAATGCTCACTCACTGTTTCCTGTCCTGTAACTATGCCCTAATCCATTTAAGGATGTTACCTTTGATGCCATGTGCTTCTACCT